TTATCCCCAAAGGGGTAGGCAGAGGTGCACATTACGGCACTTAATACCACTTTACAATGTAATACCCACTTTTCACTATTTATGTTATGAGTCCCATGTAATAGGGAGTGAGCCCTTATATTATACTATATTCTTATTAAAATAAAGCTAGAGAGATTGTTTGTCTTTGTTTGAATGTTCTATTCTCCGGAACTGGATTTGGATTGAATATTATTTTAGTCCTAGATAGTCGATATATTGAGGCAGGAAAACATCAAGCTACGATTATAAAGAGTCGAGCAGCGGAGACCACCGCGCGGGAATGGCGTAAACGAGGCTATAGTATGGGAGATATGTCCCTGTTACTTTGATTTTTACTAAGTTTATTAATATATATTTTTTTGTTATTTTGTATACATAATAAGATGATATTACAATTAGTTAAGGAAAATAAATATAATAAATAAACTAAATATGTGAGAATGGACTTGACAAAGGACCACAGGAAGAGATTCCTACGGGAATATGCAGCACATATGTACCTCCAATCTATTTATATATATGTTCTCACCTATACTTTCTGTGTGTTGTGCATAAATGAATAAATAAATAAAATAATAATAAAGTACTTCGATCCGCTATCACCGATACCTGTACTCAGCCATTAACAGTGCGTACATCTATTTAAGTTCTGTCAAGTATATCACAAGTTTGTTTCAGCGGCTATTGCTAATATTTGCATACTATGTACTTCTATTATAAGATTCTAAATTCCTTCAAGAAAAGAGCATATTCCTTTTTAATAGGCTAGCAATGAATCTATGACTAATCTGGTGTTGCGGGGGTTCAAGGGCGGCGCTGATCGCTTACCATCAGGTGGTCTGTCTGCTCGTTTACCTCCTATTCCATAAAAAAGGGATAGGCAGAGTTTAGTTCAGTTTAGTTTAGAGAAAAAAGGGAAAGATACATAGAAGTATGCAATTTAACAACCAGTCTTTTGCTTCTCGAAAATGTCGATGTAATTGAACCCGCAATCCCTTGTTCGATGGTTGCATTTCCAATCACTCACACGTTGATTCTCATAGGGAATAAGTACTAGCGCATTGCTTCAGTTCGCAAGTAACATTACAGTTATGGTCCTCTATTACCATATTGGTCTCCTATTAAATACCTATTAAGTATATAATAATATTTACTAAAAAAATAAAAGAAAAATGTTAATATAAACTTCATAGTTATTCATGGAACGTTTTGTAGATCCATAGTATAGACTATATATAGGCTGTTGTCTAGCTACGGAAGCTCGTAGCTTACTTGTGTAGCTCACTATAACAGTTCAATGACTGTAGGCTAGATGGCGCTGTTCTTAACTTTCATTTATAAGAATATAAACATGTTATTTTAATTCAAATTCAAATTCAAATTCGAATTCTTTTATTGCATATCACGTGTACAATTATTGGTGTTACATAAGGTACAGTTTCAACATGAAACCCGGCTAGGGCACAGCAACATTTTATTCTGAATAAGCATAATAGGCTCTTTTTCCATAGACATAAGTATGTGTATGTGGCTGCAATAATCCCGGGTACCACTTTAGACTTCGTGCTATGTTATGAGTTATTTCGAAAAAAAAAGTCAAAGCATTTATTTCAATTAAACCATAATTTGGTACTTTTCAGTTGAAACGTCAACAAATAAGTATGTTAAATTTTCAAAAATCTAATTGCCTAATAATTATTCACTCGATGCCGATATCAAACCTACAACTTGACTTCCTCGATCAACAAAAGCCCCATTCATTACTAAAAAATAAAAAGAAATTAATCGACACACGATTAAAGATCTCTGTTCGCCCCCAAAACATAATATCAATAACCATTTAAAAACATACACGTTCGCGTGCATACGATTATGTAATTTATTCGATAATTGCGATGATACCGAGCGATAGGTTAATGCTACCAATTACATCGAACAGATTATCGCACGACAAGACATGTTCGGTTTCTAAACATTCAACGGATTATCTTGTTATTCTGAAACTAGTTAAAAGAATCTGCTATGGTGAGTTATAGTTTGTAGAAAACTGCCAAGAGTTACGGGGTTCTTGGGGTTTTTCGAATACGGTTTTTTTTTGTACAATTGGGTACTTTCCTTTATGAACAATAAAATTTTAAGCGTGGGAGAGCCATGCTTCGGCACAAATGGGCCGGCTCGACCGGAGTGATACCACAGAAAACCGACGTGAAGCATCGCTTGCGTTGTGTTTCGTCGTGTGAGTGAGGTTACCGGAGGCCTAATTACCCTCTCCTTTCCCAATCTCCCCAATCCCTGAATCCCTAACGATCCTTAAACTCATAATCCCCAAAAGGCCGATAACGCACTTTTAATGCCTCTTGTGTTCCAGGTGTCCGTGGGCGACGCCGATTGCTTACAATCAGGTGATCCGTCTGTTCGTTTACCGGCTTATGCCATAAAAAAAAATGTTAAAAAGTAATCACACTTTCATTAATTGATTCCATGACCAACCTAATTTTAGTATTGTTCCAGCAAATTTTTAACAAATAAGTATACTGTTTGACGCTAAGAACATGTGACGTCACAAGACATAATTTTGTACACAATTCATAGAAAACTAGAAGTAAAATGAAAAAGTACTGAATTTGTCTAGTTGGCTAGTACCCAATTGTGGCACACCTCTGTTATACATAAATATAAAAGACTCATAACACAACTAATAATAAGCAGGAGTCACAATTTATGCTTTTCTTTTCTGAAGCCCCCCCCCCCCCTTCAGAAAAGATCACCCAATGACTTCTCCCGCCTTAGGTTAGATGAGAGGGAATGTCAGACTCTTACTGACTAAAAACCACCCCGTGCCTAATCCTGCTCTTTTAGTCGGAGCTCTGGCAACCCGTTAGGCCTTCCACGGCTCCATATCGGTCATCAATCTGTGGTGGTCTGATACCTATTTAGGATAAGCTTACCGATTGATGATTGTGAAGTACAAAATTATGTACGTTACTCCTTCTTTTTATGTGAGTTTTTAAGAGTGGACTATCGAATTTCTCATTATGTTGATATAGATAATTTAAATAGAAGTGCTCTCTTGTAAACTTCATCATCATCAGCCAGCCGTTAAATACCCACTGCTGACCAAAGGCCTCTTCTCGCACGGAGAAGAGTTTGAGTTTGAGCATTAATCACCACGCTTGCTTAATGCGGGTTGGTGATTTCAAGCTTATATTTAGAAATTAAAAGCCTTGATTTCCTCACGATGTTTTCCTTCACCGTTTGTCAGTCGTGTCTAAATAATGTTAGAAAGTACAATACATATAACTCGGAAAAAGGCACATTGATACATGCCGTTGGTAGGTCTCGAACCCGCACCCTCATGCATGAGAAGCGGGCGTCTTAAACCTCCGGGCCACCACGACATTTTCTTTTAAACTTAAACCGTCAAATTGCGATCTTCAATTGGAGATTAAACAAGGGCAAACCCTTTATTTCATGTCAAGAAGGCTCATAGGCCAGTGAACTGTCTATGTAAATAGGTTGGTGATGATGTCAAGCCGCGTAAACTTTGTTACTATTAAAATAGAACAGAGATAATTTATTATATATCCCGATTATGGTACAAAAAGAAGATAATGCTAAGCACATCTCATTTTACATAACATAACATCACGCATTTTATCCCGGAATAGGTACAACACCCACTTTTCCCTATTTATGTTATGGGTCTCATGTAATAGGGGGTTAGCCTATTGCCATATACCGGACACATTTCCAGACTCCATGCTACTATTGAGAATTTTTTAACCTCTTATCTGCCGACATATGAGACAAAATAGAAAACACATAGTGACTCGTTTATCTACGTTCCGGCATACCAAGCCCAGTAATAATTTCCTCTACTCGGGAATCTAACCTAAGACCCCGTGCCTAGCAGTCACACTTGCAACCACTTGGATAATGAGGCGGTCATTTCTATCCATTCAGAACATAATAGTAACAATAATAACACCAGATTGTCTCTTCAAGCCTATGTCTTTATCTAGACTTATTTCTGTCTAGACAAATACGTAGTACAAATCTGATGTAGGGCAGTATTGAAGTGTGGCGATTGCGACGTAATTGAGATTGAATAAAATTGCACCGCGCTCATGTAGCAGATCGTACAAGTTTATGGGAGGTGTCGTAAAATAACTACATACATTTATATGAACAATGAATATGGTAATAAACAGAGCAGGTTCAGTCTACTGTGCAAGTTATAAGTTTATAGGTTAACGGTTTGTGCATTCTTAGATCAAGACTCCCCTGTGCTTCAGATACCTAATTCATTCTTATAGTTTTTATGGGATAAGCCGGTACACGAGCAGACGGAGCGGCGTCGCCCATGGATACTCGCAACATTAGAGTCGATACAAGTGCAGTACCGGCCTTTTAGTAATAGGGAATTTGGATTTGGAGATTGAAGAGAATGGGGAGGGGGTAATTGGGCCTCCGGTTACCTCACATGACGAAACACAACGCAAGTGTTGTTTCACGTCGATTTTTTATGGGGCCGTGGTATCACTCCGGTCAAACCGGTCCATTTGTGATGAAGCATCGCTCTTCTACACTTGAAAATACGGTAATCCTTTGACATAAGTGGTCTTTAGAATTTTATCTTTGGTATTAAGTATTAAGTCTGTATGATATGTTTTACACTTACATCGATTTTATGTATTTTGATGTGATATTTTGTACATGATGTTTGTCATATTAAACGCGTCATGGTTCAGAGTAAATTACAAGTTACCTTAGTACCTTAGTTTGTTACCTAAAAGAAACAGAGTGGTTTGTTCCCGTAAATCCCAAATATCACACAACGACCTTGACTTTGACAAACCGCTTAGTCAGCATGAGAGCGATGACTGGTCACTCACACACCTACACCCAGACCCATACAAGCGTGGACCCAACGTGCACATGCACGCCTCAGTGCACGGGCATACGATGCAGCGATTGCACGCTCTAAAAGATTTATAGATAAATGCAGTTCCCGGTGAAAATAGATAAATGCCAGTGCACATTTACACGGTGCACATTTCAATAGACGCAACCGCATAAGCCGGACATCGGTCCACATACAGGGGACACCCGCGGTTTTCCAACAAGATGCAGTGCCGCGGTATTGTCCTTTTGTGTTTTTGTGTGCTCTCTGCTTCGGCTGACACCTTCGGCGCCAGCCTGAGGCTGCTGGGCAAGGTGTACGACAACTGTGAGCACTCCCAGGAGATAGTTAAGTGTTTGAAGATACAGGCCACCAAGTTAGCGGACAGGGCGGCGAGGGCCGACTCACTGCCCATCCTCGATGGGATCACATTAGTGAAACGACCTGAAGCTGGTAGGGCATCACCTAATGCTCTGCCTGAAGATGAAGACCTTGAATCACTACCGTCAGATAAAATTGATAAATACCTACAGCTTGCTACCACAAAGTTGATGCAGACACACCGAGTCTTCATCTCTCCAATGGATGTTGGTGATGACGTCGGCCGATCCCTGGATGAAGCTAGGGGTAAACTGAAGAAGATGATAGGTCCCATACTTGCCGGGGTTGCGGTCAAAGGTGGATTTCTGATGATGGCATTCAACGCGATTGCGCTCATTGCTGGAAAGGCTTTACTTATCGGTAAGATAGCTTTGTTGCTTTCGGCGATCATCGGTTTAAAGAAGTTAGTTGCTGGTGGAGAGTCCCATGAGAAGACTACGTACGAGATCGTGAAGCATCCTCAGGTGTCTCAGAGCCACACATACTCGTCGTCTCACTACGGCAGCGACTTCGACGCCACAGGTCCTGGAGGTCACTACAGGAGGAGCGTGGAGGACGAAGCCGCTGCACAGGACAGGGCCTACAAAGCCTATGCCAAGAAGCAGTAGGTTTTAGATAATACAACAGGCTTACGACTCCATAGTTTTACAAAATTCACAACGACACGGCATTTTTATTTGCACATTAATAGCCCAAAACGGTGTTTTGGACCTTGCAAAGAAATAATGTTTAACCAACAATGATATTTTATTGTGCTTATTTAAACGACACTAGGTAATTAATTTAAAAGTTATTGTTTAAGTATTTATTCGCTAGATTAGTCCCATGTTTATTTATTATTATTATTTATTCAATGCGTAATAATGATCATATCAAAGTTATTTAAATGTTATTATGTAAATAAGATTGCGAACGCGATTTTTGAATGTGTGTATGTATGTTCAGTACATTAGTTATATAGGGTTATGTAATCGGACGCACCAAATAATAATAAATAATGCTAATAACAATATTATAATTATACAAATAATAATTTATTATAATCATGGATTAATCATAACATAATCATAAGACTTTTAGGCTAGTCGACGGGTACTGTGCATTTCTGTTTTCTACGTTTGTCCAATTTTGTAAAAATAGCGGTAAGGTTAATGAATAAGTTACTTTATTATTATATGTATACGGTGCTGTTTAGAGTAAGTAGTTAAATACTGGCTATCCTTTAAAATAACATCTTGATGTAGATCATCAGCGAGGTGGTTACGCGAGTACCTTTTATTTATTTATTTTGTAATCAGAAATAATAATTGCGTACTATAATAACCCTGTTATATTATTAGGTTAATTATATTATTATTATTTAATTATAAGTTATAATGATGATGAAAAATATTCTTAAAAGAGACCAACGAATGACGACTGAAAGAAAATTTTATAAAACTGAATGTTTGTTTTATTTTTTAATTGGGGTTGAGAGGTTAAATAAATTATTTTGAAATTTGGTACTGTTGTTTGTTATTTTACCTTGAACTTAATGAAACGAAAGCATTCATTGAAAATTCCACGAATATAACGGAGTTTAAGAGTATACAGTAACGTTACATGTAAAGAACTTTAGTCTAGTTTTTACACCACACAGAGATCCACATAGAGTAAACTTAATTACCTGGTAACAAGTTAACAATATAATGACCAAATTTAAAACAAAGAACTTTTTTTAAGATCGAAACTGATTACTGATACTTTTATCAAGAAATCAAGACAAAATTACATGACAACAATACAAGAGGCGGTGAAATAGATACATTAGATGCTGACAACGAAATAAATCACAGAAATACTGAAGATAAAATTAAAATTGAGTAAGTATGATTTTATGAAAGAGATGAAGAAATGGGGTAACAATTGAACTATGATATAAGATAGAGATGTATTTAAATTGTCATATCAGCCTGTGACGATGGTGCTGTTGGTTGAAGACACCGTCTCATATGAAGAAAAAATAAAATATCATATGAGGATCTTAATTCTCTTTTATGGTATAGCAGGCGAACAAGGAGAGCACATGTTGGTAACCGATGAACACAACTTTCGTTGCATTAAGGCCAAACACTCAGTTCGTGAAGGTTTGTATCTTTGAACCATTTTCTTTAATATCAATAACGATATGATGTATTACTAAAACAATTTTAAAAGTTAATGAACTAGCCTGTTCTCCAAAATTATCCACAGCAACAACAGTGACATGTAATTACAAGTCTGTCGCTCAAATAGCAATTTATTATTTTCTATTGTCACAGTCTACTGGGTACGGCCATTTGCATGTTGGTACTTGGTAACTAAAGATAGTTTGTTTTCATAAACAGCTTTTATTAGAAGTATTGTACTACTGACTATTTTGATCTAGTAAGTGTTACTGAGAGTACTAATATAAGGTTCAGTTAGATCCTTACACTATAGTTGTAGAATATGTACTAAGCTTGCAGAAAAGATCACAAATTATAGTTGCTAGTTGCGTATATTAAGTTTGGTAAAAGTTACAAATAAAGTTGTCGTGTTTCTTTCCTTGATGTTGTTCGGTAGATAAAGTACTACTACGATTACTGTAATTCGTTAAATTATATATGCTATGTATTGGGGAACGCGCAACGTGTTATGAAATCGTACAACCAATTTGGGTTTGAGCTGCACTGATATTGAGGATTTCGGCTTTCGGCACTGCAGAATATAGGCCGCCTACAAAGAAATGAAATCTTTATTTTATTTTTTATGCAATGGAGTGGAGAGAATGGAGGAGTTTTTTTATGCAAGAAATGAAATCTTTATTTTATTTTTTATGAGCATAAAAATAGACAGCAGCAGCAGCAGATTATCAACACAGATTGATGTAGTCGGAGGAGCCTCCGACTACATCAATCTGTGTTGATAATCAAACATAGCACTAAGTTAATAAATTTCCTAAATTCATAATCACCACAGTTGAAACTGGAACTGCAGTTAAAAATAAGCAGCAAAGAAAGACGATCAAAACGGATACTAATAAATCTAATGATTTACGGCTTAGAGATAAAAATCTCAGTAAATAAAACACGGTGATTAACTACGCAAGACAAGTAGTGAGATAAACTGCAGGCCATTATGATGATGATAATTATGCTTACAGGGAAGAGCTGTCAATTACTTGTCTTTGTTTTTATGATAATAAATTACAGAAGGCTTATTCAAGGAGGATTGTTATATAGTTCCGTTTAACTAAAAATAGAAATATCATCAGAAACATGGTGAGACTTGCTAGATAATGTGCCTATTCTTCACCAAATGGATTTTGCATTACCTCTACGGGTGCAGGGCAAGCAAGTTGAGGGTTGTAGTTTAATAGATTCAGATTTATTAAAAAAATCTCCAAAATGAAGCTTTATGTTGCAGCCAAGTAAAAATAAGGTTTTAAAAAAAAATGGGATGTCATCAAAAATTTTTGATGATATCCCATGGTCACTTATACATTTAAATATATAAGTGACCCTGCTGTTTCTTTACAATTTGAAACTTTTAAATGATCATAATTTGCACGAGAAAAGCAGCTAAAGGAAATGAAGATAATAAAAAAATAATAGAACATTAAAAGCCAATAAAGCGGGTATAAAAATAAATACCTCACAATTAATGATGTCAATAAAAAGCAGTGTGTCAGTGTAACGGAAGCAAATGATCATCAATTATATTCACTCTTAAAGACAGTTGGAGCAAGACTGGACCGCTATATAACAGTCTGATCTTATACATAAAGAAGATAATGCTTGTATGTCTATTGTGAACATCTTTAAAGTAGTCTTCGATAATATTTCTGAGATAGATCTCCTTGTTTTGTAGTAGTATGATGTCTATTTGTTAAAAAGTTAGAAGATATCTCATTCGGTACCACAAAGATTAAAAAAAATATTTTTTCAAATGATTCGTTGAAAGCATTGATATCAGTAATTGGGCTCATTTCTGCAATTTATGGCCCATGCGTCTTTTACGCTTAGAATTTTTATGGTATTATAATATGGAGACCAGAACTGTGTGTTATATCATCTATTAATAGGTATTTCCAACGAAATCACGTGCTACTAGTAAAATAAAAAATAGCAGCCTACACAGTAGACTTTAAAACAAATGAACATAAAGAACAGATGAAGCATGAACAATAAATTGAATAGCGTTTACACAAGTACACTAAAAGCAAAAATGAATGCAGCAAATCAACTAGACGTACGTTATGAATCAGGAATCAAACAAGTTTTACTAACTTCAAAAAACCAAGAAAACGCAAAGGAAAAACCTAGTCTAGCGCCAGATATAACCAAAGAATTCTATCAAAGAAAACTGAGAAAGCTTTGAATGTACACGCAAAATGCACTGCACGCGATTCGAACGCATGGCTCACCGGCATTTAGATAAAAAACTAAGAAAGCCGCACCAGCGGAGGTGGTTTATAAATTAGTACACACACCGGACTTATATTAATACTCGCTAGATACTTTGGTGGTAACGTATTGTATTGTATTCCTTCAAATAATTTTGTTACTTCTCGGCTAAAATCTACTTGCTTCTTTATTAATTTCATTATTATCTAACGTCAGTAGATTACTTTCTTTTATCTATATTATTAAAATAGAAACCAAATTGATTTTAACTCCGGTAAAAATATCACTGGATTTATCAATTTCATAAGTGTGGGAGAGCCATGCTTCGACACAAATGGGCCGGCTCGACCGGAGTGATACCACAGCCTCACAGAAAACCAACGTGAAGCAACGTTTGCGTTGTGTTTCGTCATGTGAGTGAAGTTACCAAAGGCCCAATTACCCTCCCCTTCCCCAATATCCCCAATTCCTGAATCCCCAGAAGGCCGGTTACGCAATTGTAACGCCTCTGGAGTTCCAGGTGTCCATGGGCGACGTCGATTCTCATGTGATCCGTCAGCTCGTATACCGGCTTATGGAACAAAAAAATCAAATTTCTTAGTTACAGCACTAACTTGATTAACTCCCTATTTTGCGTTGAATTCTGAGATTTAAGATTCAACTTGTACCCTACGTTAACAGGACTGACGAAATACGAGTGCCAACATTCAGTACAATCTGTTAGAAGGCAAAAAAAATTGAACAATAGGTTTCAGTATTTATCATCATAACATTGGCCACGAGACGTTTACAGATGAACATAGACATTATAAGCCTCCCTTAACAACTTTCAAATCAGGCATTTGGCAACTACCTGATTCTAGCTATAGATTAGGCTAGCATTAGATTGCAATTCATAGTACCTAAAGTATCCTACATTATTTTCATTGAATTTCACATCCCATTAAGTACTAGTAATCATTATTATACCATTACATAAATCACTATCATTATCACATGCCATTGTATCTAACTTCCTTACAAGAATATCTCGTGTTACCCTGTAATCAATAATTCTTAATTTGTTAACTATTAAATATATTAACTTAATGTTTTTGCCAATGTATCCTCAATTTTCTGCACTCTGTTAGCTTTTTGCTTTCATAAACACCGTACCTACTGTTGATGCTACTCCATTTTATCTAATTTTTAAAATACTAATTCTATTAATACTTATCTAAACTACATATTTGAATCCTGCGTGAAATCTCGAATACGACAATGGCACCAAGCATATACATAACGCTTTAATATTTTTAAATATCTAAAATACTTTTCTAGAGACTTGGATAACCCGGTAAACGAGCAGACGGATCACCTGATGGTAAGCAATCGGCGCCGCCCATGGACACCTTGAACACTAGACAAGTGTGTTACTGGCCTTTAGATAATTGGAAATTTGAGGACTGTGGGGGATTCAGGGATTGGGGAGACTGGGGAGGGGGTTATTGGGCCTCGGTAACCTGACTCACACGACGACACAACACACAACGCAAGCGTTGTTTCACGTCGGTTTTCTATGAAGCCGTGGTGTTACTCCGGTGAAGCCGGCTCATTCGTGCAGAAGCATGGCTCTCACACTTCTTGTTTAGATTGTGTAAGTTACCAAATAAATGATCTCATTGCCACACGAAACCAAACTGTCGCCCACATTAGTTAGCATTGGTTTGTGAATCGGAAACTCTTCCTACCGCCCGTTTCCCCAGTATTCAGAGCGTGTAATTGTGTAAGGAGGATGTAACTTGAAGATAGGTGTGTTGTGAACACAAGAAATGAATTTTCTTTAACCTAATTACTTTTAAGTGACTGTTAATGAGGTCGCAATTGTGGGCGGTAACTTGTTAAGAGTTTGTGTATTTTTATTGAGTTGTGAAGACGAAAAAATGTTTGAAATGTACATCTTTTTAATTACATTATGACAGAAACCATCCAATAAACTGTCGAATCTATTTCGATAGTTTTTTAAAAGAAGCATTGTAACGATGAGGTAAGTGTGGTATAAAGCTTATTGTGTCTCTGAGGTATAATAAAAGATCATTTCTTTTTAAATTTGTAGACAATTTAATGAAAAAGAATAAAGTGAAATTTAGATACAAAAAACAATTTTGATGTGCTAATAAAAAAATATTAAATATCTAAAAATACGGAATATTTTTTTTTCAAAATTTTATGACTAGAAGTAGATTTATAAATTAGGTGCCCTTTCAGTAAGTTGAATAATCATATTAAAATGTTAATCCCACTTTTAAATTCTTTTTAACTGTCAGTAGAAATATTGCCAGACTGGTCTTCTCCTACAATTGTACCTTTCTACTCACACTGTGTTATAGAATACTTAATACTAACTAAACCTAAAAATTATTGTACTAAACCATCTCTTCCTCAATTATTCTATCCAGTATTAATAGGTGTCCAAGCAAAGTTTCGGTTCCTCCCACTGACGTCCTCCCTCTCATTGACAGGATCCTTCTTCGTGACAAACAGTCTTTCCAGCCTATTCCTCAACTCCTCAGGAGTGATTGGAGATGCTGTGGTAGGTTCTGCTGACTTCTCCCTGTAGTAGTATTCTGGATGTGGTTGGCGACGGTAGTAGCCTGGAATGTAAGTAGTTAAAAATGTATGAAATGATTTACAAAAACATTCGGGTATGTTGTTAAGTTAAGTTTTGTGATAAAAATATAATGAAAATTGATTAAAAATCATACAATAACGGATATAGCTTGTACTACCGATACTTATAATTATGCAGACGGTCTTAATAATTAGGGACTGCCTAATTAAGTTGTCGTTAGCTTCAACAACAAATATTTTGACACATTTTGAATGGGAAATTTGTCAAATTAATGATTCTTCATTATGCTAGCAAGCACTTAATCTGACATTGAACAAATAGGTCCATAAAACAGTATAAAATATATGAGATAGAAATATCAGGAGTACGGAAAGTAGGAGCATGAACGAAAGTAAACGATAAAAAATGATAAAGTTGAAGAAAGTCTCCCTACATACATAACAATACTCTACATAAAATAGAAATTATCCAATGTATCGCCTCTACAAAGCCCGTAATATAGAACTGCACACCCCACGAAAGCAACAATACAAAATACTCACACAATCCTTGTGGAGGAATTGTCAACTTAATCTGTATCTACTTAAGGTCCAGAATAGTTAAATCCAAAGATATCATAGGATGGCTTTGAAACTGTGCATCGGCAAGAGGTGTGAGTACCTATCGGAAACGGAAATTTTAAACTTCTCCGATTTTAATTTTATCTCAAAATATATTTTCTTCTTTCCTTGTGTATAGTTTGAATTTCAATTTACTAAGATTTGTATTTTAGATAATTACTAGCTTTTGCCATTAGCTTTGCCCGCGATCCCGTGGGATAAAAGCAGCCTCTGTGTTATCCAGATCATAATCTACCTCAGTTACAAATTTCTTTGCGATCCCTTCAGACGTTTTGACGGATCCTCACAAACTTTCGCATTTAGATATAGTGTTAGTACGATTTGTTGACATGTTTGTTATCATCATCTATTAACAATTTCATGACGACAACGCTTACAATGTTTCGAAAAAAATATTAAAATGAAAGCTAATTTATGAATATTCTATAATAACTCACCTGATGAAGTATGGTGATCATGATCATGATAGTGTCCAGGGTTCTCATAAGCATAAGATGAGAGGGAAGGTCCTCCGAAACCACCATACGATGATCCCTGACTTCCATAACCACTGCTAAATACTGTTACAGCCAGAAGTGCCAATTTGGCCAAAAGGAACGCTTTCTTGCTTGCAAGCAATACTAGACCCAATAGCAAGGGCAATAATGTTGAAAGTTGGAATTTGAATCCAAGTAAAAATGGTACGAGAAGGTTTCTTGCTAGAAGTCGACCTGAAAGATGTGTCAAAAAACAATTATCAATAAGATAACTGAAATGTGAGACACATTATTTGAATAAATTTTTTTCTCTATTACTTTTCCCAAAATGGTAGGTAATTTGTTAAAATGGTAGGAAGACTAAGGACCACAAGGTATAAATTTTGATTGAGAAGTTCTTGCTTGTGGACATTAGATACAGAAATCAGTCTTAATATATACTACTGTTGTCATTTCATAAAAAGAACTTTCTGAAAAGTTCACAGAGTAAACGCAAGATAGCGCTGCATCAAGTTCAATGCCAGCAGAGCATTGGGCGATGACGAGTGTATTCGTTTCAAGGTAAACTAATAGATGGCGTTAAACTAAAGAAAACATAATCATAACAACGATAGTTTTCATACTGAACATTTAGAATTGTTTTAAAGAAAAATGAGTCAAATTCGAGTTCTACAATTTAAACTGAACTAACGAATATGATTTTTGGACAAATAAACAAACCTGTAGAAACTTCACCAGGTTGCTGATAAGCAGACCTGTCCTTAATTCTTGGATCCACAACAAATTCCAGCACTCCATTGGCTAATGTTGGCCCGATTCTCATGATTAGTCCAGGGTAAAGGGTACTGAGGTCCCAATGAAGAGACCGTTTTGAAATCAAGTTGCCAGCATCTTCGAGGATTGAACTGAAATTTTATGGTTTAATGTAAATAGAGGCAATCTTCTAGATTGCCTCTTTCACAAGTGCTACTGCCGGGCAAGGGGTCTCGGGTTCGATTCCCGGGTCAGGCAAAGTATTACTGGGTTTTTTAAAATCTCACTAGTAGCCTGGAGTCTGGAAATGTGCCCGGTATATGGTAATAGGCTTACCCCCTATTACATGAGACTCATAACAAAAAGTGGGTGTTACATTGTACAGTGGCATTAATTGCCGTAATGTGCACCTCTGCCTACTCCTTCGGGGATAAAAGGCGTGATTTTATGTCATGTAGTGTTAAAAGAATAAATTTGCTTTTTAATACATAAAAAATACATTTCATTTTCTTTTTTCGTAATATCGACTCTGTTAAATGTAAATGAGTTTCAAAGAGGCAAAAGGAAAATAAAAATTGGAAGATTAAAGACATAAGAGATCATAACATTACACAACGCTATAAGTAAAACAATACTTAGATGGCTATTCACAATGCTACAGTAATGAATTAAGTATTATTTATAAAACAAACAACGAATTACCGAAAATCCATAGGATCTTTATCAAGAAAAGCACTAATATCCCTCGGCGTCTTTTCATCTCTCACAAAAGAAACTCCAGTAGCCAAACTGAATGAATCAGCCTCATCATACTTATTCAACTTAGTCAACAGTTCTTTGCCAAAACACTCTCCAATTTCAGTACTTCTCCTCACACTTATACATTCATTCAATTGACTGTCATCGACATTATTGCCTTTGATTTCTTCTCCTTCTTGCAACTCTAACTGTATTGGTATCACTTCAACAACTAGTATCAGTAGGATCACACATCTCAATTTTTTCATTGCACACATTTTGGAATTTGTATTAACAACACATGCTACAGTTTTTACTGGCACTATCCTTGTTGCAACAATTGTAACTAACATTACAATATCAGGTCGCAGTTGGTTATATAGACTTTCCATGTTCTGTTCCGGTGAACTTTGCCATTGTTTTGGTTGTTACGCCAACTTCTCACAAAAGACAATAGGTGAAAATTCGCCGAGGATAATTTGCGAACTATCTTTGAGAACAATCTCTAATTCTGTTACGGCAATTGCATAATATGCGTAATTTTTGGTTGTATCGAAATAAATTACATGTGTTTGTGGTTGGGTAATACAGATCAATGGAAATACTTCTGTATACTTCTTTGTAATATTTGTCTTACATGTAGTAGTTACGTAACTTTTTCAGGGTTTTTATAGTACAACGAGTACCTACTTAAGGGTTGAATTGAATTTTGAATATATACGGTATTCATTTCATAGTCATTTGTTTGTTTAAACGTTGTTACATCTTTATGACATTCGTCGATATTCTTCCATCTGCCTCCATTTCATTGGTACATGCTCGATAATTATGTTTTTATTTCAATCATTACCTACCAGATAATCTTATTATCATTCACCATGCATTTCATTTAGATCACACTCGTTTGCTTGTATTTATTGTAAGGACTCAGGTCGTTAAATAATTACTTGTATCTTTCTTAACAAAATGTAAACAAAAACTTTTACTTTTTAAATTACACATTACACATAAAATGAATTCAATACAAAATATTACGAGTACATATGGAGCCTTTGACCTCGGATTTTCTTACAAACTTCAAGTCATCTAAAACATCTCAAATCCCTTTAAAACGTATAGGAGTTTCAATGTTATCGTTATGAGTATAAAGACTAAAATTCTATGGTAAAATATGTGACTTGACATCTGTTTAAAATTTAACATGGTCAAAGAGTGAAAGTATTATTTTTCTTGTATGTCCGTCTCTCTGAGTAAAAGTTTCTGACGTAATATTTTAAAGATTTTAAATGACAAAAATGAATTTACGAGTTATTTTAATTTTATTAGCAATTATTTTGTCTACATTTACTAGATGTTCGAAAACCTCATTTTCACTTTTAGTATTTTGTCATTCTCAGATGTATCTATCTTATGTTTTGTCGTATCTACTACATTATTTTAAGTGTTTTGTTATTTATATTGTTAGTCATAAACGGGGGCATTTTATAATTAGGTCTTCCAATTAACAGACGTGTTCTTTTTGTCAATATTTATGAAAATAAATAAATAATCAATCATCATCCTTACTAATTATAATACCACCTGCTGACATTATATCAATGAATCATTCGTCAATCAAATTGAGTTGTTACGACCCACAATTTGATTTCAACCACGTTTTGAGTTATGACCTAAAAAACTTTTGAAAAATATCGACATATCGGTCATGTGTTTTAGGGTTACGCATTTTTCCATGTCGGCGACCTCATTCATGACCTATGAGAGTTCCGTACATTAGTCATCGACGAGTTGCTTTCGCTGTTGTCGCCCGAGGCCCATTGGCTTTCTGTATCTCATGTATTTTATGTAACCCCTCCCTCTCTTTATTCTCCCACACGTATTTACTTACAAAATCATACACATACTACTTACTATTTAATTCATCACCCACTTTAAAATCACGGGAATAAGATCCAAAATTACTTGACATCGATCGTTCGATATTCATATTAACATTGTCAGAGTAAACCACGTCTAGAGTTCACACACCTTTACAGGCATGCTTCTTTCTTACTTCTTGTACAACCTTAACTCAACGTGGTAAAGTTTAAATTACGACGTGAAATAATGCAGAGAACAGGTATTTGCCTTGTCCATCAAACAAACTTATCTTTACTGCTATTAAATTCTTGATTTGATTACTATCACCCGTAACTTGATTTGCGTAGAGTAGAAAATCGTATGATAGGAAGTTATCGTGTTGGTTTATTAAATTTGCAATTTGCTTTAAAGGAAAAGCGTTGGATGTAAACCGGACACAGGAACGCGTGTGAAGTGAAATTTCTTTTTTTCTCTCTCTTTTCGAAAAAGGATGTCGAAGGTGCGTCTGACACAAATATCTTATGATGACGAGATTATATATGCGTATAATTGAGGAATGCGGTTCTAATGTCATCCATGTAGGTTGTATTTGTCATAGAACTAGTCTCAAATATTTGCCAAAGGATTACCGGGCCAAGAATTTTTGGTTTTAGGACCAAACTCTCGATATCCTTCCGTAATTTGATTATCATAATTTGATGTAAATTTCTTCTATTGAATTATTATTAATTAGCTGTGGCTTTCTGTTAACGTCTAGTTTATTGAAATTAATTGATGGTATGTTTCCTACTTCTACTTATTGATTGACTTCATTTGTTTTGATTGCTTGCCCATGGTTAAATGCATCATCTTTGGTAGATAGTGTTGATGTTATTATTGGTATTAATTCCGGATGTATAAGTTTGATGCATGGTTTTAATATAAGTTAGATAATATATGATGAAACTTGCTTAATAATTAAAGCGTGACCCCACACTAGAATTTTCTCCTATGTCGTGGGTGCGTTTACAAACATACAAGTCACACCCAAACCCGAAACAAATTTGTGGATCACGCAAAGAGTTCCTCCGTGCGGGAATCGAAGCTGCTATACGTTGCGCGGCAGCCGGTTGCCCAGTCACCGCACCAACCGTGCAGTCTAACTATCACAGACTCCAAGTATTTAAAAGTGGACCTCTGAAAAATCCAGGAATCTATTTTAAACTCCTATGACCAATTTAATTTTAACTCAAAATCATTCTCCATGGCACAAAGAGGATTCTTTATTTTGTTTTCATTCAATAACTTAAACCATACAATGACCATCATAAAACAACAAATAGGTCATCATTTCAAAACACTCTTCATACAAAATTATGTGCATAACCTCAAATAAAAAACTTTCGCTATCCATTGCGGACACGAGACTGTTACACAATATGTCCCAATTAAATTTACAATGAGATCCGCTTAGAAACCGGCAATGTACTGCGAATTGGCACTACATGAGCATTCGTCATTCATTCATAGTATGTTTGGCTTTTTTATAGTATCTTTGGGTTCAGTTGTAGCAAGACTTGTTAATATGCGATGCACGGTTCAATTTTATCGTTTCGAGTTTTGTTGGTAATCTCGTCAAGTTGTTACTACTTGCACAATTGAAGAACGAGTTGGTCACGAAATATTTTATGTGATTTCGATGATCGTCAGCATCATGATAATAAGTCTTATGATTAGTAAATCATTGCTTTTTTTAAATTTAACGTTTTTTGTGGGAGTGTATGTTATATCATTATAAACGACTTAACTCGTCGAGTACCGGTTTTGTAGACACAATTATAGAACAATAGGTTGCGGTCACCTGAGTCCTCGCAGTGTTTGACAGTTTAATGAACTAAAAATCGCGGGTTACTCACGTGAACATAATAAGAGAAAAGCTCTACTAGTTTCGAACCATGGAGGGGCTCTTCCTCATGATTCCTCATGAGCAGCGTGTCGGCGATATCGCGTATCCTACAGTAGCAGCGCAGTTCAATAGGCATTTTTAATTATTATTTGTATATCTCACGATAGTAATTATTAAAAAATATATATAAACAACTTAATTAATTGTAAGAATACATTATTGTTAGAATACAGTAATGTCAAAGAAATTAGAATTATTGATACTACTGAAGTCAAAATGTAATGTCAAATTAGGTAATGTAAAAATGTCACACAAGCAATGTCAAATAAATAATGTTAATTATTATTGACCAAAGTCAAAGTTAAAGTCAAAATCGTTTATTTCAATTAGACCAGGAAGGTACTTTTGAACGTCAGCAATAGAAATTTAAAAGTGAAGACCATGGGGATTCCCCTCAGTAACTCCCCTCCCTCAGTAACCCCTCATAAACAGTGAGCAGAATTGCATCTGCAATCTTAGGTTTTGGCCATGGATTCTCATGTCTTTTTATCTTCTGAAGGACTGCCTTCTGCAATCTGTTGAGGGTGCCACCACATTTGTTATTATCAATGAAATAAAATATGATTTCCTAATCATAATAATATATTCCGCGTGTCACACATAAGTGCGAATGTGTCAAGTATACACTATACAGGATGTGGTGTTACGTGAACGATTCCGTTTCCTAATGTGATTGCTACATCTTCTGTGACGGTGACACTAGAGCTGGGCTGCGGAAGTCTGTGCGAAGTAATCTATGTACCGTTATGAATGAATTTTGTTTTGAATGAATTAAGTAGTTAGATAAAAAAAATAAAAAACAAAGAATAAACGTTCTTACATTTATTATAAACTAGACATACGTATTTTTTTATAGAATAAGCCGGTAAACGGGCATACGTATCACGTGATGGTAAGTAATAGTCGTCGCCCATAGATACCCGGAATTAATTTATCCGAAATTTAGGTGTGGGAGAGCCATGCTTCGGCACGAATGGGCCGCCTCGACCGGAGTGATACCACGGCCTCACAGAAAACCGACGTGAAGCAACGCTTGCGTTGTGTTTCGTCGTGTGAGTAAGGTTATCGAAGGCCCAATTACACTCCCCTTCCCCAATCTTCCCAATTCCTGAATCCTCAACGATTCTCAAACTCCTAATCCCCAAAAGGCCGGTAACGCACTTGTAACGCCTCTGGTATTCCAGGTGTCCGACGCCGACTGCTTACCAGAGATGTTACAAATGCGTTACCGGCCTTTTGATATATCAGGAATTTGAGGATTGTTGGGGATCCGGGGATTGCTGATTGGGGAGATTGGGGAAGGGGGCAACCAATTACAGTTGATAATTTATTAATTTTCAACTTACTCTAATTGTTAATTCTTCTAGAAATGTAGATAACAGTAAACTATTTATTGTATTCACAATGTTAATGTACAATATCTATAATTGTCAAGATTGGATGAATTCATTTCTCAACTAAAATATTATATTTTACACGAAACACAAGTATATCACTTAACTTTAGTTAGGAGCAGACTC